GTTAATGTTTAAATTCAGTGAGACAGGAAGTCACGTAATATTAGTTATGAAATATTCTCAAGCGTAACCGCAACACGGCTGCCGTGTTTACATTTGCGGCGACACTAGTACGCGCTTATACCCGCCGGCTAAAGTTTCGCCTCTCAACGCTATTTAATAAGTACAAAGTGTGTCATATTAAACTTTCGATATACGCGATTTTACACAATTAGTTTAACACATATGACACTGTTTAAATATGTAATATGACACCTTTTTTTTAATTATTAGCAGATTTTTGTTAATCTACTAATATTTCTTGTACCATTCCAACTAAGCTCTATGGTTGTGCCTAGACATGGTTTACGATAATATTCCAATGGCGGGATTCCAATCGCCAACCTCTTGATCGGAAACCCGTACACTTAACCTTAGTTGTTGTCTTTTTATTTCGGATATTTTCTTCAGGCATTCAAAAATATTGTTTCTTTAATGAAGCGTCTGTTCCTGGCCGTGACACACTGCCTGGTTGAAGGCAATCTTCGTTCAACTTTTCGTTAGCTAGTTAGGTGGATAAGCCGTGGTAGTTACTTAAGATAGTGTTTATCGCCTTGCAGGTACTATTAAAAAATAACTAGCCAGTGCTTTCAACATTTATCGGGATATATTTGTATTTCTTAACTGATGAGAGCCTATTACATTGTGAGGTTTAGCACTGGTAGGGCTTTACGCTTTGCTTGCGTACATGAAAAATGAATCCTTTGAGTAGGTATCAGACGGGCGCCGGGTCGTGTTTCTTTATAATTCAATATCATGCCGCGCTGGGGCTGGCTGGCTGGTGCATGAATGGCAGTAATATGACACCATCGCGCTACGTATACGAGATGTTTAAATTATCTTTCGTATTTTAACACTTGAATACAGTAGCATGTCTTTCAAAAGATGCAAGATCTAATAACAAGGTTCTTTACGATATAATATTTATAGTTAGGCGCTTCTATAAGTTTACTGGTCATAGTATAAAAATCGTTAAAACCATTTAAATGACATTACACAATGAAATGTGATTCTCTGCTATGATTTCTAATTAGAAAGAAACAGAAAAATTATTCAAATTTTAAATTTACTTAGTCCCCAAATAGTAACAAGAAATTCCAATTCCTGGCGTCTAGTCACTAAAATCTTTTCCATGAAACGATATATCGGCGTCGGAGGTCATTTAATTTTGTTAGGCTGCCGACGTGTGGTCTAAGCGACCACCAACCAGCGCCCGTATATATCCGTCCTATCATTGTAATAGGCTATTACTGTCCCATCTTCAGATAGACGTTTCAGTTATCTTATTGATCATAGCGTTCTTGAACTGAGTATCGAAGGAGCGTTATGTATTTTCGCTAGTATTTCTATTGATAGTTGAGATAGTGTTGGGAGAATTAGTATGCAATTCCTGTTTAAGCTTTTAATGGAATTGCAATTGGAATTTGCATACGGGCATACGAGAGTGGGTTCAAGTGCATTCCGTGAGGTCAGATACCAACTATAAAGCTCAGTTGAAGCATTATTAATAGACTTTATAATATTTATCCGACTAATGACCCCAGCAGATTGGTTGTTAGAATTTTGTATCTTTATTGAGCTTTCAAATAATTAGCCTTACTGGTGATTATTGAAAACTAGCGCCAGTGATTAAGAAATTGAGGAGTAAAAGATTAGCGTGGTTTGGACATGTTATGCGAAGGGATGATGATGATGATATAAGCAAAAAAGTAAAGAGATTGAATGTGGATGGCTACAAAGGTAGAGGAAGAACAAAAAAGTATGGAATGATTGTGTGAAAGAGGATATGCGTAGGAAGCGGGTAGATTCGGATATGAGCGCTGATAGAGTTGTATGGAGGAGTAGTACATACTGTGCAAACCCTCGATAGGGATAAGGGCAGGTTGATGATGATGGTGGTTAATGAAAATTAATAATTTTAATATGATTTTATGCTTTGCGTAAAGGGGTTAGAGGGGAAAGGGTCGAAGGGCAGTAATATATTGCTAGACGATAACCGCGTTCCTGTTCGCTTCCTGTATGCTCCGAGGATTGCTTACTTCATGTGTCACGTAACATACTGATCTTTCACCTCGTAATGTTGTGATAGTTGTGAAGGTATAGGAAATTACACTAATTGCATATAATATAGTGAATTGTCTTTTTTACCCTTTTGGATTATAAAATTACTTTTGTATGTATTTTAAATATTGGTTTATTTTAACCTTTTTGTACTATATTTTGTTTTAATAACTTTACTGGTTTGAAATGATTTAAAATTAAATGGTCGATCAAAGTCTAATTCTGTAACAAATTTAAAAATCTATAAGATTAAAACATTGAGACAGGGTGACTGTTACGACATTTTTTTTGGCCAGTCATTGTTCGTAATGGAACGATATTTGATTGAGTGTTGTAATAATAGCAATACATTTATATTTCTTGCTAGTTAACAACAGACTGTTGACATTTGTAATAAATCGTCCGTTTGAAACGCAATTACCGCGGTCCCCCAAATTTGTGGGGACGGTCGGGACGCGTAAACAATCTCCTTCAACTTAACGCTACATCTCTCAACTACGCCAACAATTCTTATTCTTCACAATTTGTAATTCTCTTAGATATTACCCCTTTTTTCTTTTTGTTTACTTTCCATTGGATATTATAATGAAGGAACGCCATTTGTTTTATAAGAGCTGGCTTTTGTTACGCAAAAAAGGAATTCTGGGTCAATAAACTTTTAAAACACAGTTCGTTTTAAAGATTTTTATCTAGACGTGTTACATTTTATAATTTATATTTCTTTTTAGTTCTTTGTTATTTTTTGTATTGACGCTGTTATAAAATTAATCTTAGTTTTTAATCTCTTATAAATTAGCATCACACTGCAATATACACAAATATACAAAAATATACGATTATTATAAAGGTCTAAGGCAAACTATGGAGGGTGAAGGTCATTGACTGTAACCCTTCTGAAGCCGCATATGGACAATATTCGAAAGTCGCTAAAGTTGCGGCACTAAATTTCGCAAACCTAACAACCTATACAAACACTTAGATATCTGTACACCCTATGTATGATTAACGAAGTTTCGAGCGACTAAGAGTCAACATGACTGAAAACAAATAAATTAATTTTGTCTTGTCACCGCTTATGTCGTCTGCATTGAATAGGAGTAGTTACGTAATGCGCCCTCAGCTGGGGGCTGATTGCGACTGTATATTAATGGCTGAAGGGCGCCCTACCCACTTCATTAGGCGAACAAACAAGAGGGGGAGAGGATAGGCTCTTTACCTCGTCACCCTCTTAACCTCCCGGGGCGCAACATCCAGCGGGAACTCAAAGACTTTGCTGTCACGACTTTTGTACGTGACCTAAACTGGCTCGCGTGTTTAATTGTATGGCTTTCATGTTGCCCTGCTGAATTATTTATTATTTTTATACTATTTTTAATAAGGTGTTATGTTTTTTTTTAAATTATACCTCTCACTGTTTGATCGCTGTTAGATAAAAGTAGGTGCTAACCTTTTCATAAATAACAAACAATATTTCTGTATTCACCCTACACGATTTTAAACCACTGGACCCGATTTAACCAGACTTTGGTACAATTTTCTGAAGACATCAGACATGATCGTTGTGTAAAGGTATCAATAATTTAAAGTTAAAGAAGGCTTTTAAAAAAATACACATTTTTTAGACCGAATAATGTAACTTACCTTATCTTTTGAACCAATTACGGTAGCTACCATCACAATACGAGTAAATGTGACCATTATACTTAGTATCATTACGATTTATAGTGTGGGCGTCATATTAAGTTCTTAAGAATAAAATACTTTGAGTTTTAAATTACAAACACTTGACGAAACATCAATAAATACATTAAGATGATTGGACCTTAAAAGATACCTCTTTTGTAAATGTTTGCTCTTTAAATTGTCTTTTAAATTATTCCAAAGCGAACGAAAACATGTAAGCCACTAATGTAGTTCGTATGTATCGAGTTACATTTTTATAGGGTTCCCTAGTTTTTTTTAGGATTCAATGTGTTTTTTACGTTTCGTTTTCTGTTTATTTACTAGCAAGTCTAACGCAAATATGTTCATGAATTCACAGAGATAACCAGCCTTTTGTAGCATCACTGTAGTTAAAAGCGTCCGCTATTAAAGTCATAAAGAGCTTGTTATTTTACAACGAAATGTTGAGCTGTTTTACTCGAACATAGTGAATTTAATTTTTTGTCGTGTATAAATAAATGACTGTCCTTTTGTGCGAATTTTAGCTGATCATATCCTCTTTTACTTTAAATTAAATTATCGACTTTAATTAGGGTAGTTTTGCTTTGCTATTGTTCATAGTCTGCTTCTACTTGTGTTTTATCAGTGGAACATACTAGTCTACATCATAAAAATGTGGTATATAAAATTTCCCATTCCTAATTCCATTGATAATATCTACATCGAGTTTTTTGAAACAAAGTGTCAGTACATAAAGGAAAATAATACATTTATGTTACGGAACCCATTGCATTATTGTTCGATAGTGAATGTACTAATCAATCATTCTTAAGTCGAGACTAAAGCGATTTATTTGAATATTTAAATTCAATATTAATGTATACTCGAGATATAAACTTGTTTTCATAAAATATGTTCTTTAAACTTGAGATGTTCTGAATAGTTTTATTTTTAATGTAAAAGATATGTTGAGAAAAAATAGGTTTCATACACCTTAACCTATTATAGTTCTTCCTATATAATTTGGTATGTTGTTATGCAAATTTTTAGATATTATTAATTAGAATCCTTTGGCGCGAATGACTTGCTTTCGTTACAAAGTCCAGTGTCAGAATGATTAGTGAGGGGACATAAACGTCGACATTTTAGTAAGGCTAGTGTTGGGTCAATACACCGGTACATTTTCGGATTTACTTCCTTTTAAATATAGTTAGAATTCAAGGATGTTGTCTTTGTTTTAGGTATGCGCGTTGTCTCCCAGAGAGAGGATGTCAGAGTCATACGCTCTGACGTTCGCGGAGGCTCTCGGCCGGCCCCTACCCGATCTGATCGCCCAACCTGGACTATCATATGATGAGGTTCTCCATGATGACTTCAGATTCGACCTCGACGCTCATGATGTAATGGTCTTCTTACATATACAGAAGACAGGCGGCACGTCGTTCGGAAAACATCTAGTCATGGATCTAGATTTAAAGGTTAGTGTTTTTTTATGTATCAAACAGTGGTAGAGCCCGCTTTAACATCTTCGCTCGAATCGGCCCGGCTCGCCCGGTGAAATACCAGGACAACACAGAAGACAGGCGTGAAGTGGAAGCAATTCCGCGTTTCGTCTGATGAGTGTGCGTCCTGGATGTCTTACAGTATATTGATAAATTTCCGTCGTAAAATGTTATTTAGTGAATGTGTATAGCTCTCAAGGTTTAGGGAGGGAAATTAGTTTAGATGTCATGAGTTGGCATGAGTTACTTGGATAGTTTATTCAAATGCATACGATATTCTTTTTTTTTTATTTATTAAACAAATTTAAATTAATTTTGATTGTTGTTGAAATAATTACAATCCACTGTTGACCATTTATTAAATATTTTACGAGTGAGCGAAATTAATGACGTGCTACACAAATAGTTCCAATTCAAAATAATTGATCTACAAATAAATAAAGCTAGAAGTACTTTCATTTCTATATGAAACTGAGATTTCCAAACATTTTTACTCTTACACGACTTTCAAAATAATACTGTTTTCGGTGAATCTTCTCCTAAAGTTATTCAACCACGGCGGACTTCCGTGGACACTTTGGGAATCAATGATATAAAGGGATAGGATACCTTCTTATTACCTGGTAATTGAACTCTTAATCTAAACGTAGACATATCTTAGTGGCAAATAATTTACAATATTTAGTCATACTAGTAGTGTTTTATCAACTATTCCAGCTTTTTAGTTACGTAATAAACTAGAAGTTTCGATGATGGACGTAATAGGTAGCCAATAGTCGATATAAACGAAATTAGTAACAATGCCAACCGACCGCCGCCGGTCCGCCTCCGCAGCGGGTCGCGACCTCAAACTTGTATAGATGTATTAATCAGAGTGTCACCAAGTTGATCGAACACCGACTCGACGGCGCCCACCTACGTCTCAATTCAGATGATTATGCTGGTTTTACACGAGGGTAGAATGCTGTGGTAGAACAGTAGGAAGAACAGTACAACTATGGTTCTCTTTGAGGATGTGCGTTCTAACAATTGGAGTACTGCATAGTTTTATTACACTGGCCTACTATTGTGTGAAACTGGCATTAGCCTGTGTCTAGCGACTAATGGGATATCCCTTGATGGATTCCTTCTAATGTCACTGATTGGATTGCGTATCCATGTGGAACGGTAGATGGATCAATGTCAATAGATTAATGTCTGGCTTGCAATATATTGTCGTTGTTAGTTGCTGAATGTGAAAAAACTTTCAGCTGTATGGAACAGTGAAAGAATTTAAAAAGTTCTGCATAACGGTCACGTCAACTAAAATAGTTGAAATATTATGTGGTACGTGACTGTTCAGGTCAACGTTTTCGTAACAATATGCTTCTTATGTCTATAGACAATTGCACGTCAAAAAAGTTACATCTTAATCTTCTTTATTGATGGGATGATAAAAAATTGGCAAGTTGATAGCGCTCATTATTTCCTTCTTAGTTTGGACGATGTTAGATTACTTTTGACACTCCATCCGCCTCCCCGTTAATAACAACCATTAAATGGGATCAGAGGCACGAGGCGCCAGGCGGTGTATATTACTGAGGAAATTTTGAGGAAACTTACATTTTTGTTACTCAATTTTTTCTTGATTGCCTTGTCTGCTGAGATGCATAATTTTTTTTTTAATTATTTGTAGTAATTTTATAAGATAATTTTTGATTGCGAAACAAATGTCCTGCGGTTTGAATACGATAAGACTTTATTGTTTCAAATAACAATATCAAAGTTGTACGTGTTTCGTAAAACTATTGTTCAAGCTCTACGATTCAAAGAAATCTTTCAACAACTTTTCTTTGCGATATTTACCGGGCGCCATTAGAAATTCCGGAGAGGTTCCGCGCCGGCCTTGAGGCTCTATCAACGGTCGACCTGACTGCCTTAATAAAATATATTTCAAGCTTTAGATAAACCGCAAAATATTCGTCTAGAGGTGTTAAAGGGGTTTGTTATTTTATATTAATATATAATAATAAAATAACTTTCAATATTTGTATTTATTATTCAATATATTTACAAAAATAGTTAACTAAGTGAAAATATGTATGTATAATTTTATGTAATAAACCATACAAGGGACTATTATGAAAATTCATAATTATCTGATTAAAAATATTTGCAAGAGTCAACTATTATGTAACAATTCAGAATATTAAAAAGGTCATTCGAATACATAGAGTACCAATAATGATGACTATCTAAATTGAATCGAAGCATTGCCTATTCAGTAAAAAAAACAGGGCGATTGACCGATCGAGAGGTCAGAGGGCATAGATACTAACAATGGGCCTATATGGGAACGAGGTTGATACATTCAAGAGGTATCGCATGATTCCCGTTCCTTCGACAAAAGAATTTATCGTTTATCAGTATAGATATGTTATCACGCATCAAAGCCTAACTATTTTAGACATTATTAGTTAGAATCATTTGGCGCGAATGACGTGCTTTCGTTACAAAGTCAAGTGTCAGAATGAATAGTGAATGGACATAAATGTAGACATTTTAGTAAGGCTATTGTTGCGTCAATACACTGAACATTTTCGGATTTTCTTTCAAAAACTATATAGAAAACAATGCATATTTTAGTCGCAATCTTAAGCCTTACTAAACGACGTCACTGATTTTCATTAACCTTAGTAATGTTTGATTGTTTAGGTTGTTCAAAGTTTAGACATTAAAAAGATTTTATCATATAAATTTCTCATCATCTTATATAATTTTCTGCTAAAAATGGCCGCGTGTTTTAGTTAACGATAATTGTAATCATTATTCAAACTTTTTGCTTTGCCCTCATTTGAGGATCCCTTATTTGGCGAGAAGTTAGCCTGGAGTTAACTTATTGCTTTTACTTTGTAAAGAAAAGTTTATGCATAATTTCAAGTTCGTGTTAAGCAGCGCGTTAATTAATTATTTTGATTAATGTTAAATCCCTTTTAATAAGGATTATGTTCATCTTTCGTGTTACGTTGATGCCAGTATACTAAACATATATTAGTAATTAAATTGTTAAAAGTGCTGTAAAATGAAAGATTGGTATTTTATTTTATGCTATATATGACCAGACGGTAATTGTGTGTAATATAACACGTGCGTTATTAAATTTTCAAAATAAAAAATACATTTTCTCTCACATTTTAATTCATCATTATCCATAATAGCTTTTACGGCCGAAGGATTTGTAAAGATATAAAACTTTTTATCTCATAAAAGACTGGCGGCAATTCGTTGGAAATTTTTAAAAGCTATTTGACTTGGCGAATTTCCCATTTCATGCATAGCGGTTGACTTAAATATTTTATATTTCCAATATGAATTTTATTCTTTGTTGCTATAAAAATTGGTCGGTTCGTGTTCCTTCGCTCGTAAAGATAATCTTATTGGCACTTTTGTTAAATGCTATGCTATGTATGTAAAAAACTTTATCACACTGCTCACTTAAAATGAAATCCTTATACGTAAATTGTTTTATATTTAGATCTACATATTTTATAACTAGCTGTCGTCCGCGACTCCGTCTATGAGGAATTAAAAAAAAACATAGTAGCTATATATTCTTCAAGACTATGTTCTATATGTATGCCAAATTACATCGCGATCCATTCAGCCGTTCTGGAGATACCTTCAAACAAACATCCATCCATTCATCCATCTAAACATATAGTCATTTACAGTTTACAAACTCGATAAGAAGAGCAAAACTGATGTTAATATTTTGAAATGTCTATCGTAGTCAAGTTACCAATGTCTTATAAAGAATATCGACTTGAGTCTCATGAAGGTATATTGTAGTTTGTACGAGGTGTTCGGTCCCTCACGTACGTTATAGATTTAAGTGTTTCCACCCCTGTCATCCTTTTCATATCGAATTGGCTGGATAGAAAAGTTCTTATGTCTTCATCCCCTGTCTACCAGTATGAAATACACTATCTCTAATACAGTTTAGGAAGAGCTTCCACTTCATTTTTATTTCTCAATTTTCATCGACCCCTTTAACAATTTTTGTTACGAGTATATTTTTATTATAGGAATAAAGGGAATATAAAAGTTTAAAGTTTATTAGAATACGTACGATATATTTTGTGAGTATTCAGAAATTCAAAGAGTATTCTTCGAAATACTATAATCCAAGGATCCAAATTTAGGTTTCCTGGAGTTTTAAATTATATGTTTTTTCTGATGTCTGTTATATCATTGTGTTGAGTTATTATGCGTTATTGTTAATATGTACTCATGTTCATTTTATGATTGCTTAAGCAGTCCCTTAGTACGATAAATTGTGGTAGTAAGAAATATTCAATGTATCTTTGATTCTTAGAAAGTTGATTTTGTATGGGTTTAACATATTGTCTTTACTAAAGTTTATGCAACAGACGGTCGTGTCAGTTTGTAAGTTATACGGATTGACTTGACCGTTCACAGACTGCGCGGACAAGAAACAGCTCCGTTGTAACAAAAACCTCAAGTAATGTTCGTTTGTTCTTTCGCAGCTCGTTTTTGTCCCTTATCAAAATTGCTTGCCGTGTTCTTATCCAGATACTGACTTTTTGTTTGATTATAGTTGTTCGAATTTCTTGTTTGTTTAACACCTTTTCTGTCTGCATGTACATGGTGTGTCAGATTTTTTTATACATCTTTGATCTCGACAAAAAAATGAATCACCCTTGACTTTTGAGATGTTGACAATTAATATTTTAATTGACCTCGATTGATTCTCTCGTTTTAAATCAAGGCCTTAATTATTTTGATTGAGACAAGTGAATATCGTTTGAGTATTGTATAGTGTTTCATTTAACGGATCAATTAAGTTTGAAAATCAATATATTTTTATTTTGAACCAACGTAAACAAACTATCATGGTGAAAAGTTCTGTTGACCGAAAAGAATACTCGAGAGTACCAAAGAAGGAGTAACAAATGTTTCAAGGCAAAGTAATGAAT